TCATCCTTCGTTTCATCCGAACTGCAGTCAGTGGGGGCGTAGGCGGAGATTACGAAAAGGCATCGGCGAGTAGTGCAGTCCTTTCTCCTTCTTACTGATCCGTTCAGACGGACAGCACACATTCGGCTATCTACCGGGATCCAGTCAAGCAATGTCTTTTCTGCCCTAGTACTCAAAGCTATCCCTACGCCAGCTAATCCTCGTGAACTAGCTGTGGCATCTCCTGACACCCTCAAGGTGAATTTTGAAGATTCATCCTGTTGGCCAGGTGGGGTTAGGTGAATAACCACACTTGGGTCTTGTATGCGTGTTTCTGAAACACAACATACATCAATGGCTCGAGATGCCAGGGTCTTAGCTAGTGATGCTTGTTGTCCTATTTGGCAAAGTGTCCTAACATTAAATGCTCCTATATGAAATTGGTGGCGTGGCTTTAGGAGACTATCCGTGGTGGTTTTTTGGCTTTCGTCGTTTTTAGTGGACACAGAGTGAAGAGGGAGTGAGGAGCCATCAAGTAGAGGAGTTGCATCAGTGGAAGGAAGGCAAGGTAATAGAGATGAAGATGAAGACAAAGATAAGTGAGGATTAGAGAGGTTTTGTGTGCGTTTTGGATTGTGAGGGCGATTGTTACTTCCCGGCTGCCCACACCGTGGAAGTTGGTTGCGTGACCGCAGAGCCCAGGGGACAACTGCTTGTGGCCGGTCACACGCGGCCTGTTTTTGTTCGTTCTTTGTTGTTTTGTGTGCCTCAGTAGCATACTTATCACTCCCGCCCTGTGACACGGCAGCAGGAAGCGCGGTCGTTGTTAATCCGGGCCACGGCCGATCCGGCATGAAATTTTGTGAATTTGTTTGGATCATGGTATTGGATGAGGTAGCTGCTTTTTGTTTAACCGCTATCCAAACAACCTGCCTGGCATGGTAGAACCTCAAGAGACATAAGTCTCAGCCAGTATAGCTTGATTAGGTCATTGCGGTGTTCAAGCCCGACCACCACGTCAAGGTAGCAGCTTTCGGTCGGGAGAGAGCAATGAGAACATCTCAACCAGAAACATTTATAAATATTACAAATGAATGTGTATAGAAAGTGCAAGATATGTCTATGTGAGTGGGTACCATAACGCTCAAAACTATAAAAAGGATTTGACAGTATCACGCCAATTTATCAGTCCTAAAATAAGTAGTGTTTACTATATGGTAGTTTTATATGTGCAAAAGCAGAAAGCAAAGATTTTTTACAGGAGAATTGACGTAATATTTAGGGATTCTACTTACTGATTGATTGACTGAAGAATCAACGTGGCGGTATGAACAGATTTGCGTCTGTTTAAATTGTCACACTTAAAAAACATACAAACATAAGGTGATATCATAATGGATAACGGTGAGTGAAAAAGTGAATTTAATTATTGCCCGTCAGAATATTTCTAACTTAACAATAGGTTTAAAGCAAGCAATATGTACTTAGGTGATTCGGATCTATAGTCAGAAAGTTCGTGGCGTGCTGCTAAAGTTATGATTTGGTTACTTCTAACTGCACAGAAGTGTAGCAGTTTAAATTGCCATTCCCCATATACCACACAAAGGTGGGGAGACAATTGAGAACTATGATGAGAGAAAATGTACGGCAGCAAGAATGAATACCTTTGAGAAAAATGAGGGTTTAATGGATACGGTCACTTCTAACTCCTTCTCAACCTAAATGTCGAGGCAGTAGCTTGACAAGTGTAGAACATGACCCAACCACTTAAGTCTGTGGAGACTCACAACCATATTGTTTGGCTTATCGATTATGCTTACCTAACATTTCACACCTAGTGTCAACATCACTTTTCAATTTAATGATATAAAGTTAAAAACAGATGTTATATTTGTAAGTAAGTGGTTGACAGGCAAAATTCGATTACGGCCTACTTGTCCGAATTAATCGACTCAAATATTTCAAAGCTAAACATCCATAATGTTTTTTTCGTTTAACTAATAGTCGTTAAGATGCACGAATATGCATACTTTGATGAATCATCAAGCACATAACAGAAAACGATTCTGAGATCTTAAAATTTCGATCAGTGAGTGAACTAATCGAAATGTGTGATTCTGATGACCAATGAACCGATCAAGAATAAGGTTTTCATTCATTAAGTTGTACTGACGGCATTGAATAAAAGTGTTCCGGGGTCTCTTAGAAGTAACCTCAGAACTATGGAAACATTTTTTGCAGCTTTGGATGATACTACAATATTATTTTCCATATTAACACGAGATTTCAGAAATTGCAGTGTCCACATTATTAAGTGTTTGGGTAAAGAAATCTACTGAGGCACTCAAATTACAAGCAGACATAAATGTCAACAGAGTGGTTTCAGACACATACGATAATTAAAACTTGAAGAGAATCTACTGTGTCTAATAATGGAAGAAACAATGATATACAGTGAGTTTGAAGATAGAGTGTCTTATGCATAGTAGTTACGACATACCTTATAAATGCTTATGAACAATCCATTTTTGGAGTGTTGTGACACATAACAAAGATGTACATATTTAAAGATAGGTCAAGCGCTGACGCACAACATACTGCACAAGAATGAACTAAATCAACCAAGTGTTTATGCACAGGGGCATTAGAAGCTTTGATCTAATGACCTAACTAATAAGTGCTTAAATATTCACGTAAGGCTTCATTCACTTCCGACAATTAGTCTCTATTCGCATTAAAAACTAACTTCGCTGCTATAGTTCTTTCGTATCAAATGAAACGACATATAGAGTAAAAAATGTCAGTATTGTAAAGGATTTGGGCACACTATAAGAAATATGTCAAGCACAGTGAACTGAAAGCAACAAAATTTTTTAAAAAAGAAACGTAATCAGGAAGCGTTCCACTCCTCTCCACTTCGTCTCGGTGCTTATATAAATTAGAGAGAACTGTTCCAGCTACTTTGTGGTGAATACCGTTTAAAGACAATGTAATTTTAGTTAGGCGGTCTTTATGCACCGACAAATACCACACAACTAACTCTATTTTATAACATCACGCGATAAAACAAATATTTCCAGATTATCTCAGTGGAGAAGTTAAAGTATCACGTCTCAAGGGGTGCGAACGCTTCAATAATTCTGAACGCATACCAGTCGTTGGATAACGGGACTTACTACTTTTATAGAGCCAGTGTGGACGCCATTCACGAATTAAGCAATAAATTTCACTCGTTTACCTTTTTAAGTACTGTCCGGACAATGTGCTAATAGCTTGTTAGGGTTAGGATTGTGGTTAAAGTAAGCATTAGGGTTAGGGTTCGATTTAGGGTTATAATCAGGATTAGGGTTTGTATTAACGTCAGGGTTACGATTAGGTCTAGGTTTGGGGTCCGTGTTATTTTTATTATCAACATTTTCCTAGCAAGTAGTCGTCGATCCTCTTACAGGAAACCATAGTAATTCAGTTGAGGACTTCCAGAGAAGACTGCAAAACATAATAAGAGCGATGAACGCGCCACACAAAATAGCTCACTTTCAGTCACTTAGGCGAACACGTACACGGAAAATGGCCTAACTTAAAAACTCATAGTACCCATTACAATTAAGAGCTACTTTCAGATCATGTCAGAGAGAAATATCACGTTTAATGTGTTTTCCTGCATTTTCCGGTAAATAAACGTCACTTTGTGTAAAAATCACTTATTTTTATGGTTATTCAGTTCGAGGTCACTCATGTCTTCTCATATCATGGGACGTAGTAGTTTAATTTTGCTATCTGAGTATTTACAATAATGTTGCAACTGATATCAGAGCACAGATCATTTCCGAAATAACCACAACAACACTCAACCACGCCTATTGTTATTATACTGCTAAAGGTAAACAATGCAAAAAAAAGCAGGCTGCTCATGAGTGCTATTATCCTCATCACGGAAGAACATTTTTGCATACAATGTTGGACCCTTCTAATTTTTGACAGTAAATGACAGGTTATATATTCAAAATAAACAATCTAGTTTGAGAAACATGAAATCAAAATGTCTACACGGAATTAACTTGTTTCAAAGTATTAAGATATCTCCAATAATCTACGCATGTGTGGATTTAAGAATTAATGCAAAGAGTAAAACTACCAACTAGTTAGGTTAGAAATACCAGTAGATCAGACTGGACGCCGTCAAAATTAATTAAATGGAAAAATACTAGGTATAAGGTGGAACGTAATATACTTTCACTCCTGGATATAAGTTTTAGGTCATATATCGTTTGACAGTGTAAGAGACTACTCAAAGGGCATATGCTATTATCACTTCTATGAGACTCCAAACGCTGAAAAAGTGAAGCAAGAAACCAATTTGTCTAATAATGTTGTCAAAAAGTTCCTCATGCATGTCAGATTGAAACAGATTAGATCAGGAAAGGGAAGCATACTGGATATATGGTGCACAACCTGGAAGCATTAAAAACGCTTTAGTTCAATATAATGGGAGTAAACAACTTAGGCGAAGCTACCTTCGACAGATAGTTTAATTGAACCATAAGAGCCACCCTCCCCAAACTTATCACAGACCTTGTGCAACTAAACAAAACTGAAGAGCAACAGAAGTCACAGAACTATTTATAAAAATAACTATAGGTCATGGTGTTCTGAGAATAATTTGCATTTCAAATTCTGTCAACTATTCTACCTCACAACCCTAGTCCACCTAAAATGTCAGTTTTCCAGTCAATATTCCCCAATTATGCTTGTTTTAGCGACTCTAGTTAATCCATTATTAAAATTTTGATTAAAAATCGACCTTCCTGAAGTCGTCAAACAAGTTTATAAAGCAGGCTATCATCTGATTTGATTGCACCATACATATATCTAACCATGGGTATCAAAACCCACTTGCCGGTGTTGCTGCCATACTTTAACTATGCTAGACACTCCATCTTGACATTTTTTAAACAGACTCAAACGTACCATGAAGAATAACATATTTAACCAGGATAAATTGCCTTAGAGGCAGCACTGACCTGATAACGACCTTGACTCAAATATCCCACAATATGCGTACCTTAATATGGGACTCCTGGATATGCTTTCAAACTCCAAGATTTCATCAGTAGATGTGGAAAATTTGTACTTTTTGCAATAATCGTGCTATCATATGTCCACTGCTTGAGAAGTACACGTGTTTCCTTCTCCTTTGGCTTAATAGAATTTTGGCTTTTGTTTTTATTATGAGAAAAAGACATTGTAGCGGTAGGTAATTCCCCAGAACTATTAGTCACAGCATTAATCACTGAACATTAGATGCTGCATCTCACTGATTAAGCGAACTTGTTTAGCTGAAGGCTTACGGTCAAGCCTCCACGCCATCAGTCACGCTGTCGTGACACGTTCGTTCGTTTGTGCACGATCCCTGGCTAGTTGAGCAATCACCTCGCACTCCGATTCGGTCCCGAAATATAACTCGTAATTTGGTCGATCAATTCTGGTGTTTTGCTTTGTCTTTGGTCTACGCGGAACGAATACAATAGAGTTTGTGGATGTAAGATCTTGCGTTAGTATACTTCGTACCATCCGTGGACATCAATACTTTCACCCTCTAAAACATATTCAGCGAAGGAAATTTTCTTTTCGACGATTGATTTTCGTAAACTGTGCAATCTTAATAATATTTGACAAAAATCATGAGGTCAATCAGATAATGGTAAAATTTGTCCTTGAAAACGTAATACTTAGTGTGGTGTGTAATTTAGAAGGGGTGAAACCTTGGCAACTGTGGAAGGCGAGCACTCTCTCATGAATGCTTCACAGTGCTACGTAGATTCCCTCAATGTACTACGGAAGGACTTCAAATACGCCATCCATAAATAGCTGAATCACTGGCTATTTGGGATCCGAAATAGGACTGTAGCATTCAAAAGCACTGCGTACATTTGCTCTCGCTGCCACTACTTGAGTACGTCATCACTGTAATTTTGCCTCCCTTTATTTTGTAAGTTTAGTATCACTATTCTTATCATTCTTATTTGATTATTGCTCTACTACTCTTTATTAGTAACACTGCGTTTTCATACAGATTTTATAAAAACCCTGTATCGTCTTCCAACTAGTTCTTGTCGACTCGACACAGTCGTATTGACCAGTCATTTTCTCACCCCTGTTACGTCAGTCCAACTTGTGACCATTTTCTAACTTCCAATCACTTCCCCACTCTAGATTACACCTGACACTACATAATACGTTTTCCAGGAAACTTTTACCGGTATCTGATTGTACTTATGAATTTTTTGCTAAATATTACTATGGTTGTACAGCCTCTGAAAATGAATCGCCGAAAAGATTTTCTCTAAGGATTACTTCCTTTTCTTATGACTCAATACGGAAATATTTCGTTCATTCTGTTGTATCAATCTGGTCAAAAAGCATTAAGGGTACCAAATTATTAAAAATACGTTTAAGTTTCTATCATGTGAAATATGGTCACCATTTATTAGTTTTGCTCAGCTCGGTGTTTAGTGTATTTTCTTTCCATCTAGAGATTTTTCCGCAGTGAACAGTGAGTCAAATTTACTCAGTTATACTTTGTCTTAGCCATCCATTTACTCATTTGAATAACATCGTGTATTAGGAGCATTTCACAGTGGCTTTCGAAACACATCTTGGTCTGTTGTGAAAGGGCAAATACGTCAGGTGTCAAAGCATATAGTAAAATGACTAAATCCCCCCTTAATGACATACTAAGGATTACTGTTTTGCTGGAAGACCGCTTATAACGCACTGTATCTAAACATGCTGTTCTGCACACAACTGTTGTTACTGTTGTAGGGCACTAGTTGTGATTCTTTTGATTTCCTCTAAGTCATATAACTGTAGCCAGAAACCAGTAATCCGACAGAATTATGACTTATTGGCTAAGGTGCGAAATTCGAATGCCACAGAGAGAGGTGTCATCTGCCAACAACAAAAGACGGAGTATTCGTGTATATCATAAATATGTAACAGCTGATAGAAATACATTAGCCACAGCAAGTTTCCCAAGAGATACAGGAAAAAATTAGCGATCACAAAATATAAAGATGAGAAAATATGGTACAAAAATATATCCCCTGAAAGTGAAATAATTAGTGATACTGTCAGCCACGTCTCGTAAACCGTTAATGCCCAGCTCTTGCTACGCTCGGGCTCACGCTGTCGCTTGAAGTTTCTCAGAAACGCTTAGTAATAACGGACGAAAAAACCAAAACACCAATTGTTGACTTGAGTATTCTGTATTGTTACACCAACATATAAATCAAGTATGACTAAGGTCTGTGAACAAACATTACAATAATAAATCACAAGATTACTTCTGACGATGTTTTACTCTTCTTTCTGAACAGCGACCGATGAGACGATGACTGTCGTATTGATGCCTCCGCGAAAATTGGGGAAGTTGATTTTGAGCAAACAACCATGAATTGATCGTTCAATCTTCAACTACATTGACAGATACCTTAATCCCTCAACTGTTGTGAGGTTGCGGCAAGGGACTTTTCTGTACAAGCATAATTATATGAAAGCCATCTTGTACTTGGCTTACGCACGTTCAAGATATTTTGTGCCATATTTACTCATCTTAATACCACACTGATGAGTAAAAATAATCCTAAGGGTGCAGTAACGCTAGCTTCAGAAACTTCACTTACTGTTACTGCAATACGATACTAGGCCTGGGCGAGACCCATAGACAGACTAATATTTAGTTGTAAGGTACATAATTCCCAAAAATTATTGGCCTACAGCATTCATGCTAAACCCTAAAGTTAAAGTCGAAACGTTAGACTGAATGCTCGTGGTCAAAAATACACGCCGTTCGGGGCACCGTCGTGCTACGCTCTTTCTTGCACAATCCCAGCCACTTCAGGAGTCAACATAGCATCACGATTTTGATCCCGAAATATACTGCGTATTTTGGGCTATCAATTTCGCATTTTGATTCCCCCTTTGTCCACGCAGACCAAACCCTATAGTTGTGGGTGTAAGGACTCTCACTAATGCACGTCTCACTTCGTGTAAACGTCAATAATCCTTCATCCCCTAAGCTATCTTACAAGCATTCCTACGTGATTTCGCTATATATATTTGCTAGCTATTGTACTCTAGTATTCATGGATTCGTAACTACAGAACCATGAAGAGTTATTCAGAAAATAATTCGATCAGAATTTTAATTACTCTGAAAATACTACGGGGATGTTTAAATAAATTACAGGGAATATTTAATTTTGAAAGGGCTTAAAAAGTCGCATATATGCTAGACACAATTTCTGCTAACAGCTGTCTGCACATGTGGTAATGTACGTTCTCAGCTTAGACGTAGTTAAAGATGTGAGTCGATGTCCAGGTATTACTACACTGGACCTCACGCTGTCCTTGGAAGACTTTCAGGAACCATGCGTAATAATTAAAGCAAAAAACCAGAACACAAATTGGTGACTCAAGAACCGTTTGTTCTTGCACCAATTCAGAGTAAACCATTAGGTTATTGCACACAAAGTCTAAGAATTAATGTCATAACAATAAATCACAATAATACTTCTGATAGTTTTTCTCTCTTCCAACGGACAGCGAACGATGAGACGATGACTGCTGGATTGATGACTCCCGCGAAAAATATGGAGTTGGTTTGAGCAAACAACCATGAATTGGTCGTTCAATCTTCACTTACATTGCGTTATCGGGAATAATATGTCTGGGAGAATGCTACGTCTTTTGAACTTTCACATTGATCTTTTGCCTGGTGCTTCCTTATCTGACCTAATCGACAGGGTGTAATGTTAGGACGGACGAGCCATCACTGTTAACAGGGAAAATCGTGATTAATGCAATCTTTCGGATATTGAATATTTATCCGTTGTTTAAAATGTATACTGGTGTTTACAGAATAATTTACTGCACATTATGCGTAATTAAATTATTTTCTCAGTTGCCCCAGTTATATCTGACCGCCGTGTCCAACTCAGTGTGGGAAATACTTCCGAATCATCGACTGTCTAAAATGTCTGAAGGCCCACTCTACTCATTCGGGATATTGCTAGCTCACCTGGTAAATGACGGAACAACCTATATTATAAAATCTGCTGACAAGTTCAAAGTCGGTCTCGTATACAACTGGAAATGTCACAAATATGGTGTACTTACCGGTGAATTTAAAGTTTTACAGACTTTCAAACACTCTATGAATCATTTACCGATAATCATTGTTTATTCCGCATCTCTTATGTATCACGTCAGCACTTGGCCAAAATAGCTACTTACCTTCCACAACTAACGCAATCATCTATAATTCCCGCGTGAAATTAACATGTATTTTTTTCAACCGTAGTTTAGATTTGATGCTATATCTTATGAATTATTCGGCCGAAAGAAGACCTCAAAAATTATCGATTTCCTTATTTGTATATTTCTTTTTAAATCTTTCTCTCACATTTACCAGTATTCAACCTATTTCTAAGTTAACAAATCATATTATATATTCTACAAGTTCTAAGAACTGTACATATGTTCATGCCTGTAAAAATGGCCGGTTTCTGTTCCAGAAATAAAATATTATTAGTATTGCAGCAACCAGACGAATCACTAGAGCTCGGTCACAACATCTAGACGCTACATGCTAAACTTTTTTGACAGCATAATACTGCATGTTGCGTTTAAGAGAGTCTGATGAGTGACCATCCCACGTCAGTACTGGAAGTTCCTCCGAAACATTTTATGAAAGGACGTATTGTTAGACGTCAACTAAAAGCCTGTGGCATTAGAAAAATTATGTCCAGATGACTAGAAAAGCTATGACAGCAATTATAAATTCCTATGTTCCTTAGCGATGCCTTGGTATATCAGTCCTCTGTAATTTAAAGGATCCTACGGTCCTTGGAGAATGAGTGAAGCATTGCGTAAAGGCATTTATCGGCCATCAGTGGCACTTCACCAGCGCAAAAACCGGCGTCATCGCCCTCTAGTCATTTTAAATCCATATCCATCAACAACAGCTGTCAGCACTGATACCCTACGTTTTCATGCAACGCTAAAATTCACGATGTAATAAGTGACGATGTATTTTATTCTACAACTTATGGGAAAACCAAAGCATAGTTCCCGTTTGCTTAAATGACGCCTTAAGTATCCCTTAGGCTTTTTCTATATATCTAGAGTTAGAAACCGCCCTATTGACATATAAGCCTTCTGCTATAGAGGTGCTTACCTATTTGCTTACAGTTGCTTGGTGAAATTCCGGGCTTGTACCGGCCTTTGTTAGTGAATGGGATCAGTCTGTTCATGTGTTTGTTACCTTCGTAAAAAGCCAGAACTTGACAGATATGCTAAGACAGTAGTACAGCAACAGCTGATTTAAAAATGCCAGCTAAGCATTTTTATCTTTCACCAAGTCTTGTATGTGTCTTTTCACGTGATATGGGTTCCATTTACTGAGGTGTGTGCTGCTGAATGGAGACTTCATGCGTTAGGATAGCACTAGCAGATCTAAATTTCACACCTCCGAAGTTTATACCTTAACGGCACTTCTTGAAAAACGAATGCAGTCGGCGAGGGAAAACCCCTACTTACTTCACGACAAAGTAATCTACAATGAGCCTGCCACCATCTGTGAACTTTTCAGTGATTGGTTTACACACTTTAGTTTAGAAACACATATACCTAAGAAACCACCCCCTTACTAGCTCTTCCCTTGAAAGCATTGTGTTCACTAATCAATTAATATTACAAGCAATTAAAAGCCTTAATCCTTCCACTAGTATTGGACCGGATGGCCTCGCTTCGATAATTTTCAAAAACAGTGGGTGTGATATACCCCTGTTACTTCTTAAATTCTTCTCAATATCTATGGACACTGGCACTTACCCTAGTGAGTGTAAAACTAGCTTCATAATTCCACACTACAAATCTGGTGATAAGTCAAACGTCCGCAATTACAGACCTATAAATATAACCCCAGTCATCTCATGAATCATGGAGAAAGTTGTAAAAGATCAATTGTCAGACTACCTACTTAGGGAAGACCTTGTTACAAGGTCTCAACACGGATTTCTCAAAAATAGATCCTGCGTTACTTGCCACTTCGACTTTTTCAACTGCATCACTAGTAGTCGCGAAGCACGTAAGCTAGTCGTTGTTCTCTATTTCGATATATCTAGGGCATTTGACATGGTATCTCACAGTATTCTCTTTGAGAAGCTGTACTCTTGTGGAATTCGCAACCCATTACTGAACTGGTTAAAATCATTTCTTAGCAACAGGGTACAAATAACCAAAGTTGGATCTTTATTGTCTCATCCTAGACAGATCTCAAGTGAGGTTGTGCAAGGTAGTGTCCTAGGTCCACTTTTATTCACAGTTTACATTAACAGCATTTGCAAGTGCTTCACCTCAGGTAAACCATTCCTATATGCTGACGACCTCAAAGTCGTCTACTCCTGCTACACTCATGAGTTAAGCGATATGGCAGATAAAATACATCTTGAACTAAGTAGTCTCTCAACATGGTGTGCTGAATCCTGTCTAAACTTTAACATTGACAAATGCGGCTGGATTTGTATCGGCAACAGTAACCTTGATCTAACTCTTGAAATAAATGGGCGAAAACTAGCTAAGCTCAACTCAGTCGTAGATCTTGGTATTCGATACTCTAGTAACCTAACGTTCGCTGAACAGACTGATTATTCCAGACGTAAAACACGAAGGCTGATAGGATGCATAACACGCAATTTCTTTTGTTATGAAACTAGGGTTTTATTATACAAAGTATGTGTCCGACCTATCTTAGAATACTGCCCGTTTATTCTTAGCGGACTCAGACAAAATGACAAGCTTAAATTAGAGGGAGTGCAACGGCAGTTTACCTCAAGAACTCTTGGTTTAGAAAGTGGTCTGGAATACCATAAGCGATGCGAAAGACTAAGATTAGAACCCCTCTGGAAAAGACACCTTAAGCTAAACCTTATCTTTTACTATAAGCTAACTAATCTTCTCTTGCACTCCTCCGAGCCAATAACCAAACCTACCACTGTCATCAGTTACAATCTTAGAAATCATCACAACCTAGCTGCTATAGAGCACTGTCAGACTTACGTGCAGTACAACTTCTTCTTAAATAAGTTTTCAATCATTTGGAATAGACTACCAGCTAATGTGCGCGATGCAAACACACTTCCAGTGTTCATCTCCTCAGTCATCAGACTGCTCAAAGATGACAATGCACTTCTACGTCTGACTCTTACACCTTCTTTTTCACCCTACATAGATATTTTAAGTTCATTAAACGTGTAGTTACAACAAACTACAATTATAAATTTTAATATTATTGGAACTAGATGATTAACATTTCTACACAGGACAGTAATATTAGTTTACACATAATATAAAAGTTAGCGTAACGGGACTAGTTAGTTTGTGTACCAAAATAACCACAGTTACTAAACAGAATATATATGTATATATTTATTAATCACTCCTTAAGGACTCTCGTTGCTTTCTTTTGCGTTGCTGCTTTTTGTCTTCTTTTTTCTCTCACCATTTCAGCTTCCATTTGACTTTTTGAATGAGAATGAATAGTGTGGATAT